TTCGCCAATCAACCTGTCAAAGGTTTCGACCCCCGCCGAAACATTGTCGAGTCTTTCGAACGTGAACTACGACCCCGAGACATTTCTCCGAAACTTCGGAGACCCGGTTCAGCCAGAGTTACCTTCATCAATGTCGAAGGTCGGCCGCTACTTAATTTTCTCGCTGTTGTTAGCTTCGCTTATCAGTTGTAGCAAGCTTCGTCGATGACATCAAACGAGCCCCGGGTGCGCGCGCGGCCTCTGGCGACCCGTCTTTGACGAATCACCCTCCCGTTAGCTCGCGACGCTGTGACCTACTGCCTTTGGCAGCTAGCAGTGTACGTGCAACCCCTCGGCAACACGCGGGTGGGTCGACTCGGGCCTAACTTCAAAAGAGATGCTTTAGGGTTGGCTTTCCGTATCCGTTCCTACAATTCGACCCGAAGCGGCCGTCTCTCTCTCTCTCTCTCTCTCTCTCTCTCTCTCTCTCTCTCTCTCTCTCTCTCTTTCAATCAACCCTCGACCCTCGCTCATCCGGCTTCCTCTCGCACCTTCGCATCCAACCCCTGCCACTTCGTTCGCACCCTCGCCATTTCCTGTCCGACTCTCGCTTTCTTGGTCCGAGCAATTTTTTAGCGGGTCCGCATTGTTTGAATACCGCGGAACTTTTCTGGCCCGTCCTTATTTTACCGCATCGTCCTTCTACCCTTCTCCTGGACCTCGACCCTTCCTGTCGGCGCTGGTATTTCTGTGCGCGGCAGTGTAGCAGACGCGTGTCAGGACGGAATTTACTGTTTTTTGGCGCAGCTGCTTCTCGGTTAAATAATAGGATATTGTTCCGGTCATTACTTTTACACTCGTTTCGCTGCTCTTATTTCATTTCTTTTGCTTTTATTTCATTTCTTTTGCTTTTATTTCATTCGTTTCGCTTTCATTTCAATTGTTTTGCTTTTGTAACATTTCTTTCGCTTGTACATATTTCGTTTGTTTCCTTTTTATTTCGTTTGTTTCCCTTTTATTTCGTTTCTTTCCCTCTCATTTCATTTGTTTCGCTTCTATTGGATTCGTTTATCTTATTTTATTATCGATGCAATTATTATAACTAAATCGATTATTATTATCGATCAATTATTATAACTAAGTCATTACTTTTGCGCTTGTTTCATTGCTTTTATTTCATTCGTTTCGCTTTCATTTCAATTATTTTGCTTTTGTAACATTTCATTTGCTTGTACATATTTCGTTTGTTTCCTTTTTATTTAATTTATTTCCCTTTTATTTCATTTGATTCCCTTTCATTTCATTTGTTTCGCTTCTATTGAATTCGTTTACCTTATTTTATTATCGATGCAATTATTATAACTAAATCGAAGATCTTTATAGAAAATAACCATTTTCTGTATAATTAACAGATTGCGGATTTTATGCATTTTTGGTAAAATTGGTGAACGTGAAACATAAAATAGGGAACAGATTCAGAGAAACTGAGAATGTAGACGTATTGATTCCAACTTATTGCAATTACTTAAAAGAGTACAAAATTTACACTTGATTGGCATGATCGATTATACAAATCAACAAGTAGATAGCACATTATTCTCTTAAAAGATTCATTATTATTTATATTATTTAATATTATTAATAATATTAATATGTTTAAGATGACGTAACGACAGTATTTCATTCTTTTTTATCTCCATTAATAATTAATATCATAGACGCATGAAATACACAGGCTAATTGTAACTTTCAATATCGATATCGTTAGATTCAGCTTTACGAATTGAAAATCTCATAAAAAAGTGAGTGTCACGCCTGGAAACCTTTCCTCGTCAATGTAGGAGATTCGGCGCCAGTTAACCAGTTAGCTTTCTTTGACGAGTATACACAAAACACTACCACGACGAGTATACAATCTGAATTTTTAACTTTTATAAGTATTTGACTTTGCCCGCGTTTCTCATTTATTATATATATACATAGAGAGAGAGAGAGAGAGAGAGAGAGAATATTTTTCATGTTAAGTGAATAAGTAAATCTTAGTAATAAAATTGTCAATTTTACAAAATTAAAGCCGTCCTTTTGATCCAATATTTTAACAGCGACACTTACTCTGTGTTCCGACGAGTATACTCGTCGTCGCTTGATTCTCGCGACACATAAACGCGCGCTCTGAAAAGGAGGCGCCACAGCTAACTGGTTAAACATCGCTGTGGAGCTCGACGAGGCCGGCTCGCAGAGAGGGTTGTTCGCGAAAACGTTGCCACGGTCGCGCCTATTCCGTTATATTTATCTTAATCAGGCACCGTGCAACGCAGCTTGCTGAGCAGACGGCAGACAACAGGCGGCCCGACATTTTCGGCCCCGGGCTACCCAAGAGTTTTTTCGATCTGACTTTGCACGACAGCTTGCGCGCCGTGCTAAAACCCGGCCGCCGTTTTGCCTGGCAGCCACGCTGCTAAAATGGAAGGCGCACGGCGGTTGAACTCGTTTCGCGTAATCCTCCGCGCTGGAATGCCGGCCCGAGCTCGCGATAAAAACTGTCAGCCCCCGAGGGGGGAGGAAGAGCGCGGACTCGCGCGACTAGAACTTTAATGAACATGTCCGAGGGAACAAGCGTCTCCCCGCGCGGCGCTCTTCCTCCGCCAAGTTTCGACGAACGCGGCGCGGCGGCTGCCGGAAGTGCTCGAATTAAAAGAATTGTTCCCGCGAAATGGCGCTAAACGACGCGATCGAATTTCTCGAGACTGCTCGCGAGATTCGCGGCGGAAGACGCGGGGGTGAACCACCCCTGCCGGTCTCTCGAGGCTCGAGGACCTGCTACGGGGCTATTTTAACGCAAAATCCAAGACAATTTTTCTGATCTATAGTACTTCCGTTTGATATGATTTATTGCAGTTTATTCCCGTGGAATTGATCCTGTGGCGTCGCATCCCTCTACCTGAGCGCGGCCGCTAGCAATAAAACAAGTACCGTTCCTAATCCTCAAAATTCCCTAAAAATCACGCACCCCTAATTAAACAATTCTCCTCACATCTGGACACCTCGACTCGCACGGGACTTTCCCAACTTTCTCCTTCCCTACGAAAGCCCATCTATTCCTTTCTTCTCTTCCACTATAAAAGAGACGAACGCGCAACTCCAAAAGCTCAGTCTGTCCTAAGTTGCTAGTCCTACGACACCACGCTAGTCGCGCCCGCGCTCATCGATAGCAATTCAATAAACTGCATTAATAGTAACCTTAAACACGCTCTCCGATTCGCTAACCTTCCCTTCAGTGCTAAAATCCCATTGGCTCGTACGGTGTTTACACGTTCAACCCTTAGCGGACGACGACTTTTTCGGCCGAGTCAGGTAGCAGGACGAGGCGATCTTTGCAAATATGTCGAGTGTTTTATATGGTAAAATAAAATGATCTTACATATAAACTATCTTACGAAAACGTTATATTTCGTTAGTTTATCTATATTCGCACTTTTGTGAATATAATTTTACAAAAATCATGATTTGTAGTTTCATTCGGTGTGATAGTTTATAAAACATTGACCAAGATGCATTCTTGGTTTATCTGGACATGTATCAAAGAAATAAATCGTCTCATGTCTTCCCCCTGGTTTGTTTCGACTGAAACAAACTTTGCAATCTTTCTTTGTGCTAGTAACAATTACATGCAGTTTCCCGTTTAGACGAATTTCGTCAGAGTTGGCCGTCGAACTTGAAGATCTATCTCGTGGTTGACGATAATCTCCTCTCAATTTGTTGATCGAAATTTTGCGAAAGTTCAAATGTGTAACTGGCTGTTCGTTTCTCTGTCTTTTTACACGTTTGTGGAGAATGTACGAATTGATTAACACGTTCCGTGCCGAGCTTTTTTTACTCGAATCTTCACACTTTGATATTTTACTAAAACTTGATGTATTACGTGCAATTATTAATTCTCGTACACATAACAACGTAACAAAAAGTTATCAACGCCCATTCTTGCGGTGGAAATTGATTCTTCGGTTCTAAATTTCTTGTAAACAATTTGTTCAGTTCACTAAGTAAACATGCAAGCGTGTACCATCGACGGTACACGTGGCACGGAACGTGTTAAACAAATTTCCAGTCCCCGGAAAAATAATTTGCGCCACCACTTCAGGGACTTTCACATAAAACAGTAGGTTGGATAATGTTGGAGATAACGAAATCTAACATAAACAACGCCGTGGCGACCGAGAGTCGCCTCTCGTCCGCTAAGGGTTAATTGTTTTTGATGATCTGAACGAATTCGATAACGTCAAAATGATTTGGAAACGTGATGTAGCAATTTTTGAGAAATACATTTTTATAAATTACAAATTATTCTATATTATGTAAACAGTTATTATTTTGAGATTTATTGTACTGTGGTATTCGTTAAAAAAGTGCTCTATAAATTACGGAACGCAATGTACATTTTAAGGTACGATTCATTTACAAAATAATTCATTAAATTGTTTCAGTAAAATTCATATTGCATTCTATAATTTGAAGCGTATTGTTTAATCGAATGCAAAGTGTATTTTTCAAACGAATGTAAAACATATTTTTCGAATGAATGTAAAGTGGTCTTTTCAAATGAATATAAAGTGGACTTTTCAAATGAATATAAAGTGGAGTTCTTAAATGAATATAAAGCGTATTTTTCAAAATGAATGTAAAGCGTATTCCTTAAATAAATGTTACGGTAAAACGGATCTCGCAACGACAACTGTTTATAAAATATAAAACAACGAACAATATATTATAAAAAGATTGTACATTGCACGAACGAGACACAGGGACGAAAGACTATGCACAATATGCGTGTCGTGCCAGGTCCATCTCGCTCAGATAAATTATTCTTTATATTTGATTGCAGCCGGGCCGTGATTGCGAACCAGTGAGAGAATATTTGTATCGAGTATTAACGATGGAGTGTACTAAAGACCGCGAGTCTCGCTGATCTCGCGGACATTCCGCGGAAAAGTTGCGCGTTCGATGAATAATGCAACGCTCACCGTTTCGTTGACGACGCCTCGATGCTCTCCACCCACTCCGATCAACGTCCGTCTGTAACAAGCAACGGTGAATTATAAATTTGCCGACAGATCGTTCACGATTTATCGCGAATTCGCACGGCGCTCGAACATGTCGGCAGCTTATTGGAAAGATTAAAACTCCTGGACACCTGGGCTTTGATACGGTTTGCCGGTTCCCATGAAAATTTTACGAGCGATTTTCTTGGTGCTCAGCAAGCTCGCCGTTCGATCGGTCTCCGATATTGATTCACAGCTTTATTTAGCGGAGCCCAAGATTCGCGGAAGGGGCTGAAGACCGAGATATTTTTAGGGGGTGCAATTCTTTATTAACGTGAAACGTTAATGACTCATTCATCCAAATCCGAGTCGAACCTTTTCTCCATTGTTTCAATGAAATATTTACCTAAAATAATTATTCGAACGAATCCTTTCTAGTCGAATAATAATTTAATTTTAATTCGTTGTTCGTAACAAATTATTCTATTGGGTTGGCAACTAAATAATTGCCGATTTCAGTTATAGATGTCTCCCGCTCCCATTTTTATGATATCCGTAAATGTTATATTATAAAATTATTATTATTATTATTATGTTATTTTTTATTATCCGTGAATGTTAGCAACTGGACAAATTGACTGCAGCGGTCAAGGAAAAGCGACCAGAATTGGTCAATCGTAAAGGTGTCATTTTCCAGCAGGACAATGCTAGGCCGCGCACGTCTTTGTCCACTCGGCAAAAATTGATGGATATTGGTTGGGAATTGACGTTACACCCACCATATAGTCCTGATCTCGCGCCATCGGATCACCACTTATTTCGATCCCTGGACAACTCCCTTCGTGGTCAAACTTTCAATGATGATGACGCTGTAAAATCTCACTTAACTCAGTTTTTGGCCGAAAAGAATCAGACTTTTTACGAGCGTGGAATTTTCAAGTTGTCAGAGAGATGGCAAAAGGTCATCGAACAAAAATAAACTTCATTCCAAGTAAACATAAATTTTTTATTTCATTGAACAAATCGGCAATTACTTAGTTGCCAACTCAATATTTATTTATTCGAATGATTCTTCGCCTTTTATTCCAACGATTCTTCATTTTTCATTCGAACAACATATTTTACACAATTAAGCATGTACGTGTTGTAAATATGAACAAATGTTCGACTAAAGATAATTAACATGGAAGAAATTAATCGATGAACTATGGAAAAATTATATTCTATGATTTTTATTCAAACCGATTATTTTCTGAGTTAATTCCTTTACAAATAAATTCTTATTCAAATAACAGACAACAAATCCTGTACAAATAAATTCTTCTTCGAAAAACAGGCAACAATTCCTGTACAAATTAATTCTTCTTCGAATAACAGACAACAATTCCTGTACAAATAAATTCTAATTCGAATAACAGACAACAATTCCTGTACAAATAAATTCTTCTTCGAATAACAGGCAACAATTCCTGTACAAATAAATTCTTCTTCGAATAACAGGCAACAATTCCTGTACAAATAAATTCTAATTCGAATAACAGGCAACAATTCCAGTACAAATAAATTCTTCTTCGAATAACAGACGGCAAATCCTGTACAAATAAATTCTTCTTCGAATAACGGACAACAATTCCTGTACAAATAAATTCTTATTCGAATAACAGGCAACAACTCCTGTACAAATAAATTCTAATTCGAATAACAGGCAACAATTCCAGTACAAATAAATTCTTCTTCGAATAACAGACGGCAAATCCTGTACAAATAAATTCTTCTTCGAATAACGGACAACAATTCCTACAGAAACGAATACTTACTCGAACAACAGTTAATTCGTCAATTTCGACTAGAATTTGCTTCGGTAATCCTTATCTCTGAGCCGTGATCAGAACGCAATTTCGACCAACTCTGATTCAAATTAGCACACGCAAGAATACCGGCCGCAGGATCGTTGATAAGCCGCGCGACGCGACGTTCGACCAATCGCGTTCTCGGCCGATTTGCTCGTCGACGCGGCTGCAGTAATAACCAATAATCCCGCGGAATGATGAAGCCAGTTCGCGATCGAGCGGCGATCGCCTGAATTTGCTCGATCCGTTGACCAATGGTGCCGCGGCGAGCGTTCTGCTTCGCCGGCAATTCGGCGCGTAACGACGCGGACAGGGGCGCGCCGAAACGTGTCCGCCGTTCGGAACGAGTCAGCGTGTCTGCGAGATGAGCAATTAACCGATAACGTCTTTCGATCGGCGCCCATTGTGCGGCGATGATCGGAGTCGGTGGCCGGCTAACGAGACGCGCCGTTCCGGCGACGAAAAAAACGGGGCTCGATCTCGGGAAAAACGGGACCCGTGCGCGCGGAAAAGAACGCCGCCCGATCGCGGAAAAAAAACGGAACCGTATCTCGGAAAAAAACGGAACTTGATCGCGGACAATGGCGGCGGAACGTTCCGCGACAGAACGAAAATTCCTACGGCTAATTAGAATAATTACCAGACGGCCGGCGCGGTGTTCTAAGCGATGAAAACGAAGTCACAATGGAACAATGCAACATGTTGCAAGTAGCTGGCGTATCCTCGACGACTCTGCCCGGTTTGCTGGTAACTGGAGCTCCGCGTCGCTAACAGTTCCATTTGAATTACACAATACTTAATGGCCCCGATCGTTACCGAACTAAGTTTCTCCGCCCGGCTCGCTATCGCCGCGCCGCACCGGGACACGCGATCCTCGTTCGAGTCGCTCCCGAGCAGATAAACGGAAAATTCTAGGAGAACCCCGGCTCCAATTAGTATTATCGCGATCCCGTAAACAGTGAGTCGCTCGAAAATGCGACACCAAGCCCGGTCGGTGTCCGCGGCGGATCTCGGGGAAGTCCTTGGCGAAAATCCTCCGAGGAACGTCTAGGATAACAATAGACAATAGCAGACGAAACATCGTGCCGTTCGCGGTCCTGTCGAATATTCGGGTTTGTATGAAATCGAAGGGTTAGTCTAATAGTCATTCGAATTATTCGAGTGACGAGTTATTCGAATGAAGAATTATTTGAATGAAGATTTACTCGAACGACGAATTATTCGAATGAAAAGTTATTCGAATGAAGAATTAATCGAATAAATAGATGAAATAATTTTTGTGTCAAACAAAGAGTCATTCGAATAAATAAATAGAATAAAGAATTATTCGAATAAATAAAGAGAGTAAAGAATTATTCGACTACAGAATTATTCGAATAAATATATGAAAAAAAAGTTATTCGGATGATGAATTATTCGAATAAATAAATAGAATAATTTATGACAAATAATGTGAGTTATTCAAATAAAGAGCTATTCGAATGAGNTTCGAATAAGAAATCATTCGAATAAAGAGTTATTCGAATGAAGAATTAATCGAATAAAAAATTATTCGAAAAAAGTAGAACAATCTATGACAAATAATGAATTATTCGAATGAAGAATTATTCGAATAAAGAATTAATCGAATAAGAAATCATTCGAATAAAGAATTATTCGAATAAGAAATCATTCGAATAAAGAGTTATTCGAATGAAGAATTAATCGAATAAAAAATTATTCGAAAAAAGTAGAACAATCTATGACAAATAATGAATTATTCGAATGAAGAATTATTCGAATAAAGAATTAATCGAATAAGAAATCATTCGAATAAAGAATTATTCGAATAAGAAATCATTCGAATAAAGAGTTATTCGAATGAAGAATTAATCGAATAAAAAATTATTCGAAAAAAGTAGAACAATCTATGACAAATAATGAATTATTCGAATGAAGAATTATTTGAATAAAGAGTTATATTCGAACGAAAAATTACTCGAATAAAAAATTATTCGAAAAAAGTAGAACAATCTATGACAAGTAATGAATTATTTGAATAAAGAATTATTCGGAAAAAAAACAGTAATCTATGACAAATAATGAAGAGAGTATTCGAATAAAGTATCATTCGACTGAACAAATAGAATAATACACGACGAATAATGAACGATTCGGATAATGTATTCGACTAAAAGCAATCCATTCGGTTAATTATCCTCGATAAATATTTATCCCAAACAATCCGGCTAATGGGCAACTCCGACGTGAACAGAACGCGCGCTTCGGCCCTAACGGCAGAGAGCGTTTCCCGGTCATCTTTCTCTCGAGTTCTCCAGCTACATAGATGGTACGCGAGCACCGCAACGATTCCTCCTTTTTCATTTCCGCCATGCAGGCGGTGCCGCGTGGCACTCGGCACAGAACCGTCGGAAAAATATCATGTTATTATGCTCGAAGCAAGCCGGCGCTCTGCGTCGTCCGCCCGCGTATTTACGAACAGCCGCGCGGGTGTATTCTCTGCTCGGTCACCGTGATCCGCAGCGACGTGTTCGCCGCGATTCTACGATCCGACGCATTGTAGCCGGCGTTGCTTCGCCGGAGAGGGAAATCTAGCGTGCGAACGATCCGCGCGCGGTGCTCGGCCAGCCGGGTCCCGAGCCGTGAAACGACCGCGTTCGATGGTCGCTTTATTGAAACTGCGACTGTAAATAAAGTTTCATCAGGTCCCGCGATCCGGTGTCCTGAACCCTCCGATTTTATTGGCCGATCGAATGCGACTTTTATTGGGAACCATCGGCCGGCCAGTTTTTATCGTACGCTTCGGTAGATTTCTTTCGGCCGATTCCGTTCTGCTTTCCTCGGAGTTCAGAAAACAGTTTATTTATTGGTTTCGAGGTTTTCCCGGGTACGGTCGCTTTCGTAGCAATTTTCGGACTGGTGATTTAGCGTCGAATTGCGCGAGTCGAGATAGTAACTCGGCGAACTAACTGTAACAATTCTCAGCATTATTCGGCAATTTTTCCAAACATATTTTTCAAGATATTTCTCGCGGATTTATCCGACTTTCTGTTGTTCCTGATGTAACAGCAGTTTAGTTCATTTAATTGCTGAAGATCGAACAATTACGCGGACGAGTTAAATACTCCGGGTCAAAATGGCTCGGCAACCGTAAAGAGTGGGTTAATATGCGATGAGAATATAT